GTTACAAACTCACATTCTGTAGCCACAAGCTGTTCAAGCCTACAGGATTTTAACTTACATTTTAAAGCAGATGTACAGTTCCCAAAGACAACACTACATTTTAGGAAAGAATTTCCAAAATAATGCACAATAGAAGAATATTCCCATTTGACAGTGAGTAGAAAGGGAATCCAGTTACGATTAGAACAAGCTGACAAGATGTATATGATCATGAGTGGATTACTGAACGGGCCTACCCTAGACCAACGGGCCGTGATAAGACTGCTAACCTTTCTGATGGAAAGTGAGCCATATGACTACAAAATGTGAAAAAGGTATGAAAATTAACTACAAAGCCACTAAAAAGAGACAAAATTCCTAGAGACAGAAAAGATACCAAGGTCAGCATATCAAATATGCCAAATGACAAAAACAACCACAAAGACATACAAAAGAAGTAAAAATGAACTAAAACAGAGGTAGGGGCCTTTTACATGTCTGTGTCCAGGGGCTATCGTCTCTCAGTGTCCAAGTATATGATATAACTTATATTGTTAAAGTGGCTAGAGTGATCATTGGAATCTTGAAAGGAAACAAAGGAAGAGACTGGATATCATGGGTTTACTACAGAAAGTAACTCATGGTGGAAATAAGCAGCTCTGACACCCACACTGCAACTACCTGAAACACAGGTGACCTACTGTAAAAAATTCAGGTAGGTAAAACATGTAGGTGTCAGCACAAAAAAGCCTGAGCAAACTAGTCAACTGATGTCCCCTGCTTGGAAAGTGCAGCAGACCCATGCATAGCTGTCCTATAAATAGTCCTGCATCGCTCTCTCCACTGTGGCTTGCAGGCTGGCAGCTCCGCAGTCACGACTCCTCCTGATTGTTGCGAGAACAAGGCTAAAGCTCCCTTCCTGCAGGCTCACTGGGTGAAATGCAGCGGCTGCTCTGCCTCTCCCTCTGTCTGAAGTCACGGGTTGTCGCTGCGTCAGAGCCAAGCTTCATAAGCTCCAGTGATCATCGCAACCGTATACGGCAGTCCTTTGAGCTCCCAACATGTCCTTACATCATGGGGACTTGCGTCATACCCCAGTGACGACACACACAGATTATGTAGCCATGCTCTTGTTATATTACTACAGCCTGTGGGGGAGGGAGGGATGGGCGGTGGTGAATTTAGCCCCCCACTGGGGCTCCAGTGACAATCAGCCTTGATTATCCCACTCTGGCATTGTGTTGTGTTTTGTAACAATATTATGTGTGGCTCTAGGTGGGACAATTACCTAGTGTGTACATAAACACACACACACAAACAACATGCAAATGCCTAGGGAAGCTGGCACTAAAGGCGGCAGCTATGCCACAACGTCTGTGTTTCTCAGCCATGTGATTTTTTTTAAGCTAAGAATGAATTTATCTTTGAGAGTGTGAAGGCTTTTTGTTTCTTGCATCAATCCTGCATTAGCGCGGCTGACAAATTCTGACTCACCCAGTTCTGTCACTCTCACACAGCCAGTATCCAGATATTTACTTGAACAAATATTTGCATGTTGCACAGTGAAAACATCAACTTGTGTGCTGCAAAATATTTCTGCTTTTACTCAGCTGCTGCATGCATCAGTTTTGTAAGAACAGCACTGATTATTTACTGTACATTCAAAAGAGATTGGTTGGAATTCTAACATCGCCTCATACCAGTCTAGTGCTGGGGCTTTAGTTTTGAGTAGTAGGATTTGTTTGCCCTATCATTTCCAACACGGTGTACCCTACTTTGCCCTCACTGTGACCTGCTCTCAGTAAACACGCATTTGGTAATTGGCAGGTCAAAAGACATGTGAGCAACCACTATGTGTTCAACACAAGCTAAATGTGGTTAAAATGTTGTGCAGACACCTACAGTAGGTTACATCTATTATTTCAACATGACTGAACCAGCATGAGCTACATCTTGAACACAGTAATTAAACGTCTGTTGCAATAGTGATTATAATGTAATATGTATCCCCGCTGTCTAAAAGCCTTTTTGAGACTTGTCAATCACTGCTTACTGGGTTCTCTTGTACCATTGATGGAGAAAAGCACTTAATAACTCAGATTAATGTATAGCCTGACTAACTGTAGAACCAACTGTGGCATGGGAAGGAAAGATTTTCATAGTTTTGTCCAGCGAGATACCTGTTTTTGAGGATATAAACTTTGGCACAACACTTGGCCTGCTCCTCCACGCTACTGTCAGTCAGATGCTTGCTGGGTTGTAAAAGCTCATGGCCAAAGAGAGCAAAACCTCTCCAAACAGATTCTCTCAGGAAATTCAAATCCAGTGAGAGTTCAGTAAACTTACAGAGGAAGTGTGACTAGCCTGTCTTAGAAATGAAATTGACAAAAAACTGCATTCAAACATTGATAACATAGAAACAGCTACAAACATACACAAACATCTGAGGGTTTCATGCTGAAATGCACAGAAGTAGATGTAGCTGCAGCAGATTGTCACACACAGCAAACTGACCACTTTCTATGCTATATACATGCACAACAAGTTTTCTGGTGTAATTTCCACTGAACTACATACATGTGCACATCTCTGATGAACAAAATATACTATACCACAGGGAACTAATGCCAAATCATCATCAGGATTAAAGAGAGCAGAGACCAACACACATTACACTAAGTGGGATGCAAATAAAACGCCACACACAGACACCGTTCATTAAAAACAGACACCAGAGTTATTCAGTTTGAAAAGCATCACATCTTTACTAATCTCTGCAACTCATTAAAAACAGACACCAGAGTTTCTGTCAGTTTGAAAAGAGCATCACATCTTTACTAATCTCTGCAAAATGTTTTCATTGTTAACTACAACTAAATACGTTGTGCATGTGTTGAATGTGAGGACCTAGTTCATAGTATATACAAACCTTAACATAACATATCACACGGGGAAGGTGGTAACACTAAAAAGTTCCAGTTCGATCGTGGAATGGATTTTAATCTACAGAAGCAGAAATAACTGTCAGTCACAAACCAGTAACTGAACAACACTAAACATCAGCATCATTGATCTGCATTACAAAGTTCTGCATTTGGACCATTTGACATCATGTAGACAAACATGTCAACACAGCTAATAGCACAAGCATGAGCCAAAAACAGAATAAATGCTGATTCACTATCCAAACACTACAGTTTACTGACTGTCGTTTATACATTTGCCTCAGACAGACAACTGTCTTGAACTTATTCAGTCAAGGACTCAAGTGAAGCTTCTCTCATACCTTCAAAAGCCTAGACTGGATTTTGGATTCAGAATTTGTAACATTTTGTCGAGTCTATTGATAATAAATACTGTCTTAAAGCATGAAGATGCCTGAGCAGACACATCAGTATTAGGATTAATCAGGAGAGACAGATTCAGGTTTCTGCAGAAACCCCACTAGCAAACATCAGAAATACTTTAAACTGAGTAATAAAGGAACAAATCGATGGTTTCCATGTGAGTCAATCCATGGAAACTACACAGATTGGACCTTGGAAATTTAAATCATAAACATGACTTACAGCACAAAGGATATATTACAGCTAAAATAAAACAAACAACTTTTTTATTATTATTATTTACACCTTGTATCAAGATGTCCGAGTTGGTTTGTTCCACCCCGTCACAGGACAATAAACGGGCCACCACACTCAGGATGCAGCTAAATAAAAATTTCATGTTTTTATACAAATTCATTTTGAGAATTTCATTTTTAAATTTTCTCCCCATGTTTTCTGAGTTGGCAAGGTGGACATGTCATGCTTGACAAACAAGGTTTAAAAAAAAAAATGTACCAGAAGATGTTCTAAAGAAAATCCAATCTCACGAGCATTTGAATTTGTCTTCTTCAAACCCTAAAATTGTCATTTCCTCTTAGTGATGTTACTATGTTATGTTGTTTAAAATGATTTTATCAACACATTGCCATAAAAACAGAAGTAACTGTTCTTAAAAACAAGTCTGAAATGTATGAAATGTTTAGTGTTACTACCGATGAATGAGAAATGGACCCTAGAAAATGACAGTATAATAATAGAGACAGTATAGAAAAACTAATTCTGTTATTTAATTGTATTTTACTTCATGCTAATAAGTACACTTGAATTTATGTCTTCAACCACTGAAAACAGTATTATTTGTTTTATACTGCCTAGTTTTTGCCTTTAAATGTTGGGGACACCAAATGAACAGTTTCCATGGAATGACCCATTAGCTCCTCAACAGACTGTGTAACATTTTCTGTGGTACCAGTTCAGCATTCGATCACTTTGAAGACACTTGCATTGTAACACTGACTTTTAGAAACTGTCTTGTTAGTGTATTGACAAGGCTTGTATTGTAAATAGCTGATATTCTTCAATGCTTAAGTTGACATGTGAGCAGAACATTACATTTCCAATCATTTTACATACGCTTGCTGCATGTAAAGCTTTTTGATAGCTCGCTCTCTAATGCTGGAGCTTCCCACAACCTATGAACACATCATCAAGCACATGAGCAGTACAGCATCAAAGGGTCGACAGGAAGAAGCAGTGCAGAAGGAAAGCAACAGAGAAAAAGTCAAATTTCAGTAAATGCACCAGCAAGACACAATTCTAACAGGTATTTTGAAGCTAGAGATGTCTGTCAGCAACTATGTGGACCAAGCAAGGTGGCACTATGGTAGCATCTCTAGCTGAGAGTACAGGTCTTTGACTGTGACTGGGCTGCACTCGCTGCAGGATGGAGGGAGGAAGAAAGGAAAGAAAGGGAGAAAGGGAAAAACAAAGAAGTTATTTTTATTATTTACAGTGACACCATGAAAAAAGCATTCATAACCTTTTACAGTTTCTATATGTGTTCTTCTGTTGCATATATTTCTCACTCCGATGTCCAGCAGAATTGACACAGGCACTGTTTAGGCTGAGAGCCACTTACATCCCTCATAAAATCAACAGAGTAATGTATTCTCTGTGTGTTCGAAACCCTCCTACCTTGTCTGGCTGCTACAGCTTCCTCCTCCTTGGCTTTCTTGGCCGCCTCGATGGCGGCCACTTTGGCCTCGTGCTGCTCTTTCTGGGCGTTCCACTGCTTCCTGTTGTTCATTAGGCGCTCCAGCATGGGGGTGATCTCCACATGGAAACGGCTGAACTCCTGGAAATAACATGAAATCAATACAGCTTTGTTAGCACTGAATAAATCAAATATAATAGTAAGCCTTACATGGCGCAATTATGGCTCATCTGGAAAAAAAATGCCATCAACTCCCAGAGAGCTGTTCAAACACAGCAGCATGTAGATTTACCTACAGTTTAGCCAATTGCAGGTGTTCACTGCAATCAGTGTTAGAGGGAATCAGCAGTGGATGTCGGTGTATGTTGGGGTGGTGTGATTTCTGACCTTGTACACAAACGAGCAGACAAAGTCGATGAAACCACATTGAAGCTTCGGCAGCTCATCTGCTTTGTTTCTGTCCATCATCGGCTGGAAGAGAGAGATCGAGAACATATTGGTCAACACCCCCGCTGTATCAAGACGTTACAACTTTAACAGTGAACAATGCAGACACCGGCTATTTTTATGGTTTAAACGAGCATAAAATCTGCTTCACCACCCAAGGTGTAGCCACCATAACACCACCTAAATAATATGTGAATCGATCCAACAGCCATAAATAAATACAAAATCATCTTTGTAGTTTCTGACTTGATTATCACCCTGTTGTTTGCAGACAGTAAACATACTGTAGACGAATAGTTTTAAAATAAAGGTAGAAATGTGTTTCAGGGCCATCAGCTTTTAATTTTATAGGTTCAGACTCAAGTAGAAAGAACAAGAAAACTGGAATTAGCAGATCATTGTTAGGTATTTTTAGTCAGATAGAAATTGGATAGATACTTTATGTATTAGAAATGTTTAGTGGAGATAGGATGTCTAGTTAGACTGTTAAATGCTTAGTCATGCTTATGAGTTTCTACAGGGTACATCTGGTCAAGGATAACTAGAGAGAAGAGTTGATGACTGTCAGCAGACAGGATGTTTAATATTATTATGATGTGTATAACTGTAGCCTTAGCCATAATATGTTCTTATGTTTAAGTCACGACATGTTACTAGAGGTCGTGAGAATGTTTTTAGCTACACACCACTTAATCAACAGACACACACACATTGATTTGCTTCATGTTTTGACTACTGCTATGACCAGCTGCAAAGCAGGTAACAGAGACGTCTCGGTTGACGTTTCTGTGTAGTATGGGGCTAGCCCAACCGAGGGGATATAATGTATAGGCCTGGTGGGTTCAGGGTCTTTCATCTTACATCTGCCTGTGAGCAGTTTGGAGGTGGAAGATACCTGAGCATGTAATGTTAATTTTACCTGTGATCCTTTGAATAAATCAGCACTGTTTTGAAGTTACTTGGACTGTCTCGTCTCTCAGAGTTAGCAATAGTAACAAGAACCATAATCCGACATCATCCTTGAACACAGCGCCAGTGCCCTCCCAGTCCCAGGGACACTGCTCTGAAGCCGACGGCAGACTTGTGACGTCTTTGTGCATTATGTGGTGGGGAGACAACTTCCCTCAATTAGGAAGAACGTTGTTATAAACATTGTTTGAGCAATTTACAGTTATAAAAAGTATACTCAAATTTTACCTGCTTATAAAAGACGGCTCTAGCTCCTCACTATATAATAAAGGTCGACTGAATCCTGTGCAGTAGCTTCACATGAGCAGCCACAGCCACATACAGACATAAGTCTGAGCAGCACACTGGGCTGTAAAGACCTGTCAGAACTGTGAGAAAGTTCACGTTGGCTGTAATTGCTGGTGAAATTGCCCACCTACATTTCCTGATAAAATAGCTCAAGTGTCGCAGCCTCTGCAAAGTCTTTCCACTGTGAATCACAGAATCGACTGGTGGGAAAATACCAGCTGATCAAAATGAAGTCCTCCCTGCTGACACACATGCTATTATTTGAGGCAAGAGTGTGTGGGATGGTGCTTCTCAAGTGTTTCGAGGGCACGAGGGAATGAAAGAGTGAGGGGAGAGACACGAGGCTGAGGCGCCCGGTCGGCTGGGTTAGGGCCACAGTGACCGCTCTTTCTGTATCGGTGCTCCACATAATGGCCTGTTCATCGCTCAGCGCCGCCGCCACAGGGAACTAAATCTGTCTTTTCATTTTGTGTTTCTGTCGCCTTCTCCTCCGCTCTCCTGTCTTTCCTGCTTGAAACCCCAAGGACAGACTTGTCCTGCCTTAATTCCCATCATTCCTGCCCACCCACCATATCCTCTATCTCCTCCTCTCAACCTTCAGCTTACCGGCACAAACTGATTAAAAAAAGAAGAAAGTAAATACGCATGAGAAACAAAAATGATGCAAAATCCAAATTCACTGAAAAGTTTGTCCAGATTATACTTGTAACCAACAAGGGGAAAATATCAAATGTTTCCATGGGATAAAATATAATACTAAGGTTTGTCAAAGGTAATGAGGTCCTCTTAGTTCCCGCTGTGATCCTACCTACCCACAGAGTCTTCAGTAAATTATACTGTAGACATTCTCAAAGGGGAAATCCACCTTTGAAGAATATACATTAGGGGCATTTATAAGGAAAAAACAAGCAGCACCACCGGAGCTCGAGGGGTTTCAGCGTCTGTGCTTCAAATCAAATCAAATTTTATTTGTATAGCGCCAAATCACAACAAAAGTCATCTCAGGACACTTTACAAACTAAGGTCTAGACCTTACTGTTATCAATATTATTACATAGGGAAAACCCAACAAATCCCCCTTGAGCAAGCACTTGGCGACAGTGGGGAGGAAAACCTCCCTTCAGGCCTTCAGAATGTTTACTGCCTCCACCCGTCCCTCAAACCTTTCTCTGCCTAGCGTTCATTGTGCTCCCTCTCTGTATCCTTACAATGGGTTGTTGCTGCAGCACCGTCCTCTCCAGGTCTCCCTGCTCCCAGAACTCTGCAGCCACAGACAGCGCCACCTAACAAAAATGTGCAGAGATAACATTTCAATGAGGAATCATGAATAAGAACCATAAATATATTTTTATATTCTCTAGCAGTGCAAGCTGGCACACATCCTAAACATAAAACTGTGTGCTGGTGGTTAATGATGAGAGAAGCACAAACCTGCTGATAGCCTAAAGCAGGGTGTAACCATGTCTCTGAATAAAACCTGGCCTGTGCAGCTGTAACATGTGGCAGCCGGGTCGTTCAAACAGGCCACAGTTTGAAACTTGCATCATACACAGCTGTCTTCTATTGATTTTTAAACGCTCATAAATATGTTCCAGTCACTCCTTTGCATTTGAATGCCTATGTTAATGTGGTTGACATCATCAGACATTCATGCCAATTGATTTTCTGACAGTTTATATGAAAATAAAAGGATGAATAGTCCAATCATTGCACACAATTCTGAACCAGGTACAGCCCCAGTATCAGCTTATCTGTTGATTTTTTTACTTGTCCAATAGCATAAAAAACCTACTTTGCAACAACATAAAACAAAAATAGCAAATCTTCACAACTGAGAGGCTGGAAATACACGATGTCAATTTTCAATCAACTAATCAATAAATTATCCAATATTTCACTATGCATACTGGTGAAATTCTCCTTTAGAATGAAACCTGCCATAAAGATACTGCTGATTTCCATGGTACTGCTTCTACGAGCAGGAAAACATCCCTTCCATGTTGTAAAATGGCCCTATGAAGCTTTCACAATGTTCCATTAATGAGAGGCTCATTCACCGCTCAGGAGGCAGATTCAGGCATGTGTCTTTATGAGACGAAAGCCTGTTTCGTCTCTAAAAGGAGCAACGTGAGCTCTGATGAGTAATATGTGGATGCTGCATTCAGGATGGAAACCTCATTATAGAAAGGGTTAGTCATCGAGCCAGTTCTGGTGCAGTCTGTCGACAGGCATTGTGTGTGTGAGGAGCAGAAACCATCCATATAAACTCAGAGGAATATCTTATCAAGAAGCTTTTGTCTCGATATCTCGTCTATCATTAATAAAAATCTGAGGAAATGTATTAATAAGAATCAGACTATCTCAACAGCTTCAATAACAAAAACAAAACTACTGTATAACAGACTCATTTCATGCCAGCAATGACTCTAACCTTTAATCTAAGCTTTAATATGAAGATCTCTGCTCAGGGTCATCACCGAAACCGGGCTCTGGAGGGTTTCATTTGACAGCCACAGTTTGTTATCGCTATTTCCAGAGTGGAAGTCATTTTTAAACCGAAGAGTTAGTCAACAAAACAGAGCCCCGTGTGCAGAAGGGAGGGCCATGCTATAGATAGTGTGTGTGGGATAAATCACCAGGTTCTGACAAAGGTGAAATCAACAGAGAGGAAAAAAGGAATATCCTAAATGGCTGCGGCTCTGAAGTCTGTTTTCTAATCAGTTCATCTGGTAACACGTGTCGTAACCAAAAACAATATGGTGATAAATATTATTTCAGTCTGAAACACTACAATGTTCTGTTCTATATATCAGCCTGAGACGTTGCTCATAACATAGTTGAGACAGAAGATAAGTTACAATCTGAAGTCAGGTACCTCTGATATACAGCTGTAATAAACAAACAGGTGATGGAGCGTGGAGGGAAGTGGATTTATAAGGCAGCAAAGTGACCGACAGCTTTAAAAGAATGTTTGATCCTGTTTTTGTGACCAAACTGTCCGACTGGGAAAGTTGTCACCAAAACTGATTTTGGTCATAATCACTGTCACAGGTTGTTCAACAACATTCATGGGGGTGACTGTGGATCAGTGGGTAGAGCAGACGTCTCCAAACCGGAGGGTAGGAGGTTCGAATCTCAGTCCACATGCCAAAGTGTCCTTGGGAAAGACACTGAACCCCCAAGTTGCCTCCAATGGTTAGAGACATTGGTTGAGTTGGCGCCGCAGATGGCTGCCTCAGTTCTAAACCACAAACAAATTCCTTGTGTGTAACATACTTGGCCAAGTAAAGGTGATTATTGTGATTCATCAGCCACTATGCTAAGTGGCTTTTAGTGCTCCTGTCCCTACAGCCTCCCTTCATTGACTGTATCTGAAGACCACGCCACCGAAAACAAAACATCTGTTTCGCAGCTGGCTGAAATGCACAGATTTGAACATATGTCCAGTAAAACACAAAAACATACATACAGTAAGACGGTAATGTGGATTACTGCTCCTTTTGCTAAGACCAAACTGAGAAGATTAGTTCGACATGCTGGACAGAATCATCATCAACTTTATTGGCCAGGTGTGTTGGACACACAAGGAATTTGACTCTGGTACAGTGGCTCTTGGTGTGATGGACAAAGTTCTCCCTTTGTAGGCAAGTGAACAAGATAATAATAATAATAAACATCATTTATATAGCACTTTACAACTTGGGGAGCCCAAAGTGCTGCACAAAATAAGGATAACTATACACTAAAAACAATACTAAAACCGACAGAGCACTACTAAACCATAACCCAATAATCATAAAATATAAAAC